AAAAATAAATTCAGACGTTTGCACCCGATTCTTGCTTTTCAAAGTCATTAAAGATGTATGCTTTAGAGTCATTCCATCATAAAAATGTAGCATCCCGACTGTCATAAAAATGTATATGCAGTTCCATAAATTTGCTGGGAGTGTGAAGGGTTCCTATTTTTATTTCCAGTCCCACAGCTTTTGAGGAAACAGCTGTATGTCATTAGTTTAATGACTTCTGTGCACTGATTATTTTTGCATAAAATTAGAAAACCACCATATGTTTGTGTGACACAATGTGTTTAAAGAAATACCAGCTAATGAGCATAGACAGCACTGTCTATGTTACTGACCCCCCAAAAATTGATGTGTCCATTTAATGCTCAGTGCTTCTGTTGCACATCACTCCCCTCTCCATTAGAGTGGAACAGTTTAAACAGAAATATGCTAAGCAAAGAAAATTGCATTTGGGTCTCAGCCTGCAGTGAGACTACATGCAATAATATTCATAAAATGGAGGGTTATAAATAAAAGGCAAAAAAAAATAATAATATGGCGTGTTTGTTGGTAGCAATAGGCCATCGTTTGAAATGCTAGCAGGAAACTGGGCCACTGTTTTCAAAGATTAAAAAAAATTTCTTCGACAATATATTTTCCATATCTTAAAACTTGTCCTTTTATACAAAATTGTCATATATATGCATACAAATGCATCGACAACGCATCCTATTTGATTGTCTTGTACATTCTCATAAATTAGGACTTTCATGTTACAGCCTGATCATCGATTTAAAAAAAAAATCATAATTATATATTGGATTTATACACCCAGGTTACACGCTACATCAAAACAGACTTACCTTTATTCCCTGGTGTTGTTAAGCCCGTTAATGGGTTGGTACTCGGAGGAAAGATGGAGGGGATTGTCGTGTACGGCGCAGGCTTGTTCCATCTGAAGGATGCGAGAGCGCGCAGCACGCTCACAGAAACATCTGAGCATCAAATATTGTTATGCTGACTTCAATAATTCTTCATAGACATTTTATAATATCAGTTTAGATTCAATGTTTTTGTAATTAGTTTTTTAAAATGATTTCGCGATCTTATTTATGTAGAAAGTAATTAAACCGGTGTATTTCCTCTATATATATATGAAAAGGTATATCTGTATCATGAATTCATTTTACATCGTTGGCCACACAAGGCCCACTTTTAATCTTAAATTGACCGAACTAGCGACCTTCCCCTTTCTGTAGATACGTTTAAATACATATAAATTCAAATAAATAGGCTGTAAGCAAAATAAGTTTAACAGCAGGTCTCGGTTTTACTATGTGATTATTATAAGCTTTTCTATATGAAAAGCTACTGTAGTAAATTAAAGAAATATGCCAGAACGAATAAATACATGTGTAAAATTACAGAAAAGCTTCTCGTTGCATATTGTCTTGAAAATTAGGTCTTTCTTTTTTTAAATACGGTTAAAAGTCAAAAATCTATGCCCTCCTTCATATAGTGCAAAACCATCCAGTGGGCGGATTGGCGTCTTTGTCAGGCGTATTCTATTCTAGCCTTATGTTTGACTTATAATAATATATGAATTTAGTGCAAAAACAGGAAGATGGTGGAGAGGACAGGGATATTTCATCACGTATGTAGAAGGAAAAGTATTTCACCTCTGCAGACAGCAGGTGGCGGTAGCGCGCGTTTCTGTCACGTGCCCGTTCACGGACAACACCAACAAATAAGAACCAACAGGAGGCGAGCGAGAGCTGCTAGCTGCTCCCGAAGCAACTTATCTGACGTCCATCCTGCTGTCATGGCCTTCCTCTGCCGAAGTGCTGCTTCGCTGCTGAAGCCCTACCAAGCTGCCCCCGCCGTGCTATCCGCAGCCCGCCTCTACAGCTCAGGTGTTTTTGTGTGTTTGTGGTTTAAGCGCCACCGTGTCTGCAGGGGTCAGTTTGTTGCAGCTGCACCAACAGCTGCTACAATGTCAAAAACCTGCGTCACTGTCTGTGCGACGGCTTCACGTTTAGGGCAACAGTTTATGTGTTGATGGTGTTTTTGCATCGCGAAGTCTTTGTTTGCGGAGCTTAACAGTGTGAAAAAGTCCCCACTTTTGTCAATGTTGTGTTGTGTGCGGGTTGCAAAGGTAATTTGAACGTGGCATTTTCCAGGTGCTGACCGTTTAGTCTGTGCAATTTATTATTATTATTATTATTATTATTATTATTAGTATGTGCTACTATTGTTTTTGGGGTTTTTTTACATTTATTTTCTGATGATTTTGTTTGAAGTTTATGTGACCTGGTGGAGTTTGGCTCACACAAGAAGAGAGCCATTTTTTGAATTACACAACACAGTGAGCAATCTGTTGAAACATACAAGTAGGAGAAAACAATTTATACTGCATATTCAATATTTGGTGTGATCACATTTGTTCTTCAGGGCAGCTTTACTATCATTTCTTTAAGTAGTCTTCAGGAAGAGTTCTCCAGGCTTTTTGAAGGACATTCAAAGCTGGATGATGTTCCATTTTTTGCTCTGTTCCCTATCGAGATAATCCCACACTGTTTCAATAATACAGAGGCTTAAGCTCTGGGGAAGCCAATCCATGTCCTTGGTATGCTGAAAAATTAAATTATTGCCAATCGCATGCTCTCCATTTGGTATTGCATGGTGGATCAAAATCTTCTGGTACTTCTTTGTGTCTGTCCTGAAAGACGTGAGCCTCAGTGTAATGAGACTCTAGCTCTAAATACCAGGTTAAAGGTGCAGAGTAATTTGAACATTTAATACAAATAAATGCTGTAACTTTGCTCACTGTCTGAAGCCATACTACTAGGCTGTTGTTGTTAATCCTTAACTGTTTCTTGAATAATCGACCTTGACTTTTGAAATCAGTGTTTTATCAGTGAGGAATTAAATGTCCAGGGTAGTCGGATCAGACATTAAAGCTTTTATCTTGCCTTGTTGTTTTTGCTGTATTATTATAAAATACTTTCAAAATAAAATATTAAAAAATAAAATGAGGACAGTAACAGCATAAGTTACATTGGAAGTTTTTTTTTTTTTCGTTAATGTTGAATTTTGTCTTCATGCAGGTGGTAACTATGAGCATATTTTGGTGGAAAAGCGAGGCGAGAAGAAAAACGTGGGTTTCATTCAGCTGAACCGACCTAAGGCTCTCAATGCTCTGTGCGACGGGCTGATGAAGGAGGTGGGACAGGCGCTGGATGCGTTTGAAGCTGATGGAGACGTCGGCGCTGTCGTCATCACTGGCAGCGAAAAGGCCTTTGCTGGTGAGGACTTTTTTCTGTCCTTGTATTTGCAGATTTCCTCGTTTGTGAAGGCACGTAAAACTGTTTAAGTGAACTTGAGTTTGGTGTGGACTTTTTTGCAGCTGGAGCAGACATTAAAGAGATGCAGAATCGAACATTCCAGGAGTGTTACGGTGGAAACTTCCTGGCTCACTGGAACAGAGTGTCCACGGTGAAGAAGCCTGTGATAGCAGCTGTCAATGGATTTGCTGTAGGTTTCAAGTTTTTGTTTTTTGTTTTTTTTTTTCTTTGCTTGTTTTGACATCTGGGGTTTTCATGTAGGCTTGTTACTGTCGATAAGTGGGGGATCAGGTTGGGTTGGTAGCCATTTTTAATTCTTCAAAAATCCGAGCGTTCCTGGTTGGGCTCTTTGCAGGACAGTTTCGAGGCTCAGAAAGTGGATGTCACACTGTAGAGGGTCATCATTGTTAAAACTAAGGACAACAGAAGTAATATGTTCAGTTGTATCATCCAAACAGCTCCTGCTTTGGTGTTTTTATACGTGCATTCTGCTCTTTCAGCTCGGTGGAGGGTGCGAGCTTGCAATGATGTGTGACATTATCTACGCCGGGGAGAAGGCTCAGTTTGGCCAACCAGAAATCCTGCTGGGGACCATTCCTGGTAAAGTCTAATTTATGGATTACTGTACTTTTCTATTAAACTGCACCTCTTTACTAGAGGCTGGCTTTTTGAGCAGTAGATTGTAAAGCTTTTCTGCTCATCGTGTCACTTAAGTTGTAGGTCGCGTGTGACAGTTTTCACATGACATCCTGTGTCGCGAGACACAATCTTTATGGCGCATTGGCCTGCTGTGCCGTTTTAATGAGAATCCTGCACAGAAACTCAGAGACATACTGACACACAGAGAAAGATGATGGAATTGTTTGAAAATTGAAAATTGTTTGAATTTGTGGAAGAAACTCGACAAAGTCTTGGCTTCTGGTTTTGACTTCTTCTCTTCCTTATCAGCGTGTATGACGCAATATTGTCTGAGTGGCAACACCTATTGCGTAGGAGAATACTGCAGTGGCTTTTTGCACCTTAACAAGTATAAATGACTGTATCTGTATGATGACATCACTGAGGCGGGTTTATTGGCACCTTAACTTCTCTCTGCCTGTAGGGTCGGGTGGCACCCAAAGGCTGACACGTGCTGTGGGCAAATCCCTGGCGATGGAAATGGTACTAACAGGGGACAGGATTGGTGCTCAAGAGGCAAAGCAATCAGGTAATGACAAAGAGCACTGCAAAGGCGCTTAAGGTTCTACAAGTTTCTGCTTTAAATAAACAACCTTTTCTTAAAAAGATTATTTTTAGATTGTGGTTCTGGTACTTTTACATACAGGAAGGTACTGAATAGTTCTGCACCTGGATAACAGCAAAGCTAAACTGCACAGAGTCTGCTTTTAAACAAAAATGTGACATGAATAGTGTGTCAAATAAACTGACTTCTTATATTTATTGTTCTCAACTGTGTATCTTTGTGTTCCTTAGGTTTGGTGAGTAAAGTTTATCCCGTGGACCAGCTGGTGTCTGAAGCCGTAAAATGTGGAGAGAAGATCGCTGCCAACTCCAAACTCGTGTCTGCTATGGCTAAAGAGGCTGTTAACGCAGGTATGCACATTTTAAAAGGCTAAATATTCTAAAACCGATTGAGCTGAATATGTTGGATGTTTTATCTGACTCATCTTCTGTGTGACGGCAGCTTTTGAGCTGACTCTGGCTGAGGGGAATCGCTTGGAAAAGCGCTTATTCCATGCTACATTTGCAACGGTGAGTAGAAGAACTAATATGGGATTAAGTGAAAACAGTGGAGTCAGATTTTAATAATCAATCCATGATCTACTTTTGTTTTGTTTTTTCCCTTCCCTACAGGATGACCGTAAAGAAGGCATGACTGCCTTTGTGGAGAAGAGAAAGGCCAGTTTCCAGGACAATTAGAAAAGGAGCAGATGAAGATCACAGTCAAGAACACAAAGTTTCTGATATCAGTGGCTCACTTCCTTGTGTGTAATATGCTGAGTGATGCAAAAATCCAGGATTATTGGAATTTTCCAGCTGCTGGGACTAGGATTTGCCACCATGTGAGTGCACAAGAGTGTCTCTCTCACTGAAGCCCCATCTGATGAGGATCAGCATCAAAATCAGATGAAGTCGGGGTGCAAGGGGGTTGAATGTGAATATGATTTGATCTCTGTGATTATAGTCAGTGTGTAGCAGGTGGTGTAGGGCATGTGACATGTACTGACTTTGCCTTTTCATTTGTCAAACATTTCTATTTTGTAGGCAAGTTATTCTGTACATTTTACAAATAAACCCTGGGAGTGGCAAGAAGACATGGGAAGACTTTATTGATTATTCACTTGTAAACATATTAGTTTATTCCATTAAACATTTTTCATATTTTACATATTATATTTTTCCAATTTCATATACATTATGTTTGGTTATTGGCAAGCAGGGACTGATTTGTAACATGCTAACAAAGCACATGCTTACCAGCTGCTTTGTTAGGTACGCAGGTTAAAAATATCTCATCAACCAGTCACGTGGCAGCAACCCAGTGCCTTCAGGCAAGAGAGGACCTGCTGAAGCTCAAACTGAGCAGCGCACCTATATTGGAAACTTTGCATTTCTCAGAGATGAATTTTTTTCTTTTCTTTTTTTCTTTAAAGGAGGTTACAGGAACTAAGCAGCAGTTTTTGTTTGTTACAAATTTGAGCGTTCATATCAAACCTTGAAGAAGATTGGCCGCAGTAGCAGGACACCACTCCCCATTTCCATCCCTTTTAGGACCACAGTATACTGGTCCTCTGATGGCTGCTTCCAGTAGGATAACACTCAGATCCTATCAAACTGGTTTCTTGAAAATAACCTTGAATTTACTGTAGTCAAATCACTTCCATAGGCACCAGATCTCAATCCACTACAGCACCATTGGGATGTGGTGGAACAGGAGAGTCATATCATGTGAATGTGGCCTTCAGACCGCTAGGTGGCCCTCTTGCGCTGTAAACAAGTGCAGGGAAACGCAACATGGCCAGTAAGTCCTCTGGTCGGCCCACAGGACAGAGACACACCGAGCTGGACAAGTAAGGTCAAATTCACAGCTACGAAGTCACTAAAATACAACTCTGGGTTTTATATATTCGATAAGATCAACCTAACGGAAAATATAACACTATATCTTTGCTCAAAATAAATTGTGCCGTTTGCATCGGGCTTGGGATAAAGTGTCAGCTGTCTTTTTTTCTTCTTAAATTACTAGCTCTGTGCCATACTCCCAAATTTTTTGATGACTGATACCAAGTAGATACCCGACCAGTATTTCTGATGCGTGGTGATATGTTTAACCTATAAAGGGAGCTTATAAAGGAAAAGGTGTGTGTCGTGATTTATGAGATGAATCATCAGTGTGCCAAATTTTGGACACATTTTAATAACCACTAAACTATGATTTTAACTTTCCACAACAATAACCCAACAAAACACACCTTTCATTTTATAACTTTTTTTTAGAACATCCAAATGTTAGGGGTTTTTATAGAACTTTAAATGTGCTACAGGTTATAAATAAAACAGATGGGAGAGTCAGCACAATAAAGTTCAGAGATTTTTTCATAGAGCATGTTTTTTCATGTTTTCAAAGGAAATAAAAAATTAACACACTTATATACAGAACTTAGATGATAAGGAAAAATGTACCGATCATATACAGTATGAGTCCAATACTAGCGTTGGTATCGATATTATTGATATTTGGATGCTCTTGCCACCTCTGTAAATTACTGATAAGCACTAAAAATCTCAGCAGCAAGCACGCAAGTTAAAGTTAAAAAACAACTATAAAAAAACTATAGATAAGTTAAGAGTTACGTTAAGAGTTCCCCATCACATATTGAATGAGGATCTTCGGGGCCACATAAACCCACAATTTTCACTTCAAAGAAAACACCAGAACAAATTTGGTTAGTGCGCACTTTCTTTTGCCGCTCCAGTCATCAGGAGGCACCTTCTTTCTCTCTGATCTTCACACGGCGGTGCCCCATATCTCCACAAGTCCGTGTCCTAATTGATTTTTTTTATTCAATATTCCCCTGGAGCTTGCTTTCTTGTCAGCCCCTTGAAACAAACCTTTAAAAAGGAGAGTGGGGTGAAAAAAAAACTGGTCTCTTCTCTCCGCGGGGAAGCACAAAAGTCCGCAGAGAGGGCCCGAAAAGAAACCTCTCTTTGAGGCTACCGAAAGGTCAAAATAATAAATGTAGACTCAATTGAGGCCCTTCGCTGACAAAGGAAGCAAAACGTTACATTTTGGCAGCGTGGACCCTCGTAGCGTGATAAACTCATTTAAAGAAGCCGGAATAAAGAGAGAGCAGCGTGGGTCCGGGGAGGGTGAAGGGGCTCTCAAGTCTGGCAGACAGGCCTGACTCCCGCAAAGGGCCTTTTCTCCAGCTCAGCAGCCCCCCAAAAACTCTTATCTTCCTAAACAGCAGTGCAGCAGTGCCAGTCATGCCCGGATATCTCCGCTTTTATGTCCGCGTTATAATCCGTTTGCATGCATTTAAATTCAGGCAGCTGCATTTAGTAAGCAAAGCAATATTTTCTCATGAGAAGTTACATACAAACTTAAAAAGTAAGGTTATAGCTAGTTAACGAAAGCAAAACATACGGATTTATATAGTCCTTTACTCGGATATAAGATAAATGCAGATCGTGGATATTTGTTTGCAAATTAAATGCGAGCAATAAAGCGCCAGTATTTCTTTGGTGCATTATTACCAGCATCTGCAAATTCAGTGTAAAAGCCCACAAGCCTGCAACTGTGACTTTACTTTTTAAAAAGCCTTTTTATATGCAGATCAGCACCGGGCTGGCTCTGCGGTCATGGAAAGGATTCCTCAGCATCTTTTTTTTCTTGTCATCCAGCTGAGAGCATTTCTGGCCCAGATGAAACAAGCCGGGTGGAGTGTGGTTTTCATCGTACAAATATTTTCATTATCTCACATTCTTGGCGTCACAGATCGGGTCGGAATAACACGTTCACCGGTGTCTGCTTTGAATTATGCCCACCCAAGGGTGTCAGAAACAACACGGACCTAAGATTAATTACACCAGACTACAGGCGAACAACGCGACCCTGCTTTATAGATTCACATAAGCACAGTGTGGTTAGATAACTTTTACTAACTGAAGCAAAAAGAAAACACAAACTATTTATAAGCTTATTTAGTATTCGTTTAAGCCACATTAGTATTTTATGCTATTATTTATTTGTTCCAAAAACTGGGCTTTCGGATTTTTGAGACTGTATTTAAAGTTTAAGAAAAGTGAGCTAACCAATCAGATTCATCAGTTTTAGCACGTGATCCGTTTACGATCATCTAAGGAAGACTGTCAAGATAGTTGTTGCTAAAGCTACTAAACCCTTTATCCGACAAACCAACAACGAAAAATAATAAGAGTTTGAATCTTAGCTTGACGACTGAATCTTCCGCCATAGCAGTTAACATTTACAACTTTAAAGTTTTTTTTTCTTCCTAAATTGGTAATTTTATGTTTCTAGCATGTCACAAACGAAGACGGAAGTTAGCTACAGGCACTACTCTCGCGTCGCTTGAGACGTCTCCGATTCTCCGTGTTTTGAGGCTGCAGGAATGGTCGTGCTAAGAGGAATCCCCTCTGTTTTATCACCTGAACTTCTGTATGCTCTCGCTAAAATGGGCCACGGGGATGAACTGGGTATGATAATTACACGCATACAGAGCTGCTAACAGCAGTGACCTGTATACCCTGCTTGTAGGCATGCTGCACACTGCTGTGCTAATCTGAGTTTATGTCAACACCACGTAAAAAGGATCATTAACCTGTAGCTACACGGCACAGTTACAGAGATTTTACTCACTCTTCATGAAGTCACTCACTCGTTTAATTATTTTCAGTGCTTGCTGATGCTAATTTCCCAGCATCTTCTATTTGTGCATGTGGCCCAAAGGAGATAAGGGCTGATGGTATGTAAATACACCTGCCTATAAAAAAAAAATGTGTGTGTGTGTGTCCTTCAAGTTTAGCTTTCAGACTGTGTCTAACCTTAATGCAGGGTTGGGGATCCCACGGCTTATGGAGGCTGTTTTGAAGCTTTTGCCCCTGGACACCTATGTCCCCTCTCCGGTACTGAGCTAAAGCATCTGCATAGACATTCTGTCGTTTTTGTGCCTGACTGTTTAATATTTAGTTCATATAATGTAAAATCTGTGCTGCATGCTTTCACAGGCTGCAGTTATGGATCTAGTAGATAGTGACAAGCAGAGAGGTTTAGCTGTGCCTGTGTGGGACACCTACGAACAGCTCTTGAGCCAGGCAGGCTCTCAGGTAAGACAACCCCTTCACCCTGTTATTAAGTGAAACAAAATGAGTGTGTGTTCATTTGATTTGTGACTCTCTGTGTGCTGATTTCTGTTTATATACAGGTTTCTCTTGAGAAGGTGGAAAGGTTTGCTTTCTATGAACGAGCCAAGAAGGCCTACGCTGTTGTGGCAACAGGGTTGGTGTATTTTCTCTGCCTTCATTTGAGTCTAGGTTCAGCTAGATTGAGTTGCATTGCTAAAAGTGCACTTCTGTGTTTCAAAATCAAGTGTAGAAATGGTTCCGTTTGTAAAAAAGAAAGAAAAAGATGTTCCGTGCTAGAAATCGTTCTCATGATTTATCTGTCAGTTGTTGTTGTTTTTCTTTTTGTTTTTTTCATATATTAGCAAACCTACAGCATCATGAATCAAGAAGTGTCGCATCTTGATAATCAGACTGTTGCACTGATTTTAATCGCTTCATTGTCATGAACAAATCTGGATATCATTGCAGAGGCCTGGAGCTAGTTTAATTATGGAGATTATGGTCTGCACGCTAAAGTTTAAAATCAACACAAAAGGCTTTTTTCTTTTTCTTTCTTTCTTTGTTTACATTGTGTCTTTATGATTTTCCTCAGGGAGACAGCTCTGTATGGTAACCTGATACTGAAGAAGGGGGTCATCCCTGCTGAGCAGCTACAGTGACACGCACACACACATTTTGAACACATTTGATGATTTCAGTTTTTATTTTTCTGTTGTTCTGTGATATTAGGCACTAATTGAATTCTTTACAGTCAAAATCATCATATTTTGTGAATTCATATGCATTTTTTTCAAATCTGTAATCACTGCTGTAAATACAATCTATATTTTTATAACTGATTTCTGCATTATGTTTATATCAATAAATAAATGAAACACAGTCTCTGATGGGAGTGTTTACAGTATCTTTATCATCAAGATGCATATGAGCGACACAGATTTAGGTGTTCTTGCTTAGTGAAGCTTTAAGGCAGTGTAATTGAATCAAATGAAGCTCTTGATTTTTTTCTTTTTACTCAGTTGCAGCTACATGAACTTAAATGATAAAGAGCTGAGTTGTTGGAAGATCAGCGATGGTAGATCATATCCAAATCTTCCTCTGGCTCAGCGTGCTTCTGAGGTGGAAAATTGACAGGATAGGCAGCTCTGATGTTGTCCTGGTGAAAGACCGGCCTGACTGGTTCTTTGTGGTAGACAGCATCCATGTCCTCCTCAGGCTCAAGGTGAACCCTGGCCTGAATTTTAACCGCCATCTGAGGTATCACCGGCTCAGCCTGGACAACAGGGGGGACATCCAAGTTTTGGTTTCGACCTCGGAGGAGATTACCCGTTGAGGGATGGTACAGCTCATCCAGGTCTTCCTCAGCCTTCAGATATTTTTTCTCCTGTCCGCTGCCTCTCATACTCTTCCAGATCTTCATGTTGGGGTCAATATCATAGTGGGTCCTATCCATATCCTCAGGAGGCTCAACTGCCACTGCCCAGGCTGGCCTACCTCTCTCATCTATAGACCTGAAATGAGTATCACACACCATTTGTTTTTATCAGCCTAAGCAAACATGAGAACCTTTCTTTTAGTTTAAGAAACTTCAACTCACATGACAGCTTTCTGGAAGACTTCATCTGAAAGTTTATTCTGAGAGAAGAGCACAAATAATACAGGATTACGATTCAAATAAATACTATTAACCATAAAAACATGTTTAAAAGTAACAGTAAAGCTGATTTATTTCAATGTAATATAAGACTGGAAGTAATATATACATACCCAAGGCTTTGCTGTGATGCCAAGTATCAGCGAAACACAGACGATTAGAGAAATCCTACCAGGGGAACCAATTTAGGTTAATTGCTAGAGTTCTACTTCATAAACACAGATCCCTGTCAACTTACAAAAACAACTCATCTAATCTATAAGCATTAAAAACCAGCTAAATCTTTGAAGAGATTTCTCACCTGAACATGGTGCGTCTTCGTGCTGGCAGCTCAGTGTTTGGAACAAGATTGCCTTTTGATCACCTGCTACTGAAACGAAGGACCAAAGATCTATCTATAAACCTGCTGTCCCGACCTTTGTATCCTCCAAGTGCAGGCTGTAAGTAACTTATCATTTCTAATCTCGCCTGTGTTTTGTGTTGGTGCCATTAAAATTCCTCTTTCTGTCAAAGTGTCAAAGTACACTCCACGTAACTGAGCAGAACATGCCAAATATAAAATGTCTTTCTTATTTATATCATCCTGTATTTTTCTTTGTTTTAATTTATCACAGTTATGCAAACACAGCTAAAATATGTAATAAATATACAATATTGTAATTACATTTGATGCAATTATCTCCCTTATCAAGGCTGTAAAGTTCCTTGTCTTTATTACTGAGAGTAAGAGATAAACTTTATTATCATGCAGCAGTAGTTTCTCCAAGCTCTATACGACGACGGTATCTAACCTCAGTAACTATTGTATACATGGCTGTATATATGTCAGCTAGTTAGCAGCAAGCACCAGTGGATTATCCTTTCTTTCTGTGCTTGGTTACATTTGCAGCATTGTATTAAACTGCAGTTTTCTATCTGAACATCATATCTTCACTGGTGATGAGTTCGGAGCTCATCTGCTGTCATTGTGTGCAGAAAGACGGTAACAAATCACACACATATTCATCTATAAAATCATTCTCCGTGAACTGCAAGCACATTTTACCACTGGTAGTTTTAACTCAATACACTCACACAGTTGCACACTGCATTTTCCACAGAGTTTGGTTTTCCTGCTCTCTGTTTTAATAATCTTTTTATTACATATTTTCACCGTTTCTCTCTCATTGGATTTAATGCCCTGCTGTGTATCACAACTGTGTAACATCAGGAATTGTTCACTGAAATATCTAAACTATTCTGAGAACTGTCATGAAGTGCTGTGAAGATATTTATGATCCTCTGCTGATGAAGCCTAATGACTAGCACCACCACCAGGTTGACATGTAGTTTTGATTGAAATGTCTCCACAGTGGCATGCACTGCCATAAAATCTGATAATCTTTGCAATGATGTGATCCCTTTCCTGACATTTGCTGTAAGGAGATCAGGTTCTATTTGAGTTTGTCCAATATTTTGGTTTATTCCTGTAAAACAATGACATCCACCTCATGCTAAGCCCTGTTTTGTGTTCATCTCATATATTACATTGGTAAGTATACAGTAATTAGGGTACAACGAGACTCTTGAACATTCTGCATGTCTTTCAAATAATTATTCTTACACACATATAGACCTGATTTACTTGTCTGTCCTTTTTTGTGTTCAACTTACAGGCATGAGAGTCAAAGTGCGATGAGTTGATTTTCTGGTCTGATATCACGCCAATAATGCATCTATAAATGTGCAGATAAATTATTGTATTTTCATTCATCGGTTGAACTTAATTAGCTCAGATTTGTTCTCATATTGAAAACATTCTGCGTGCTATAAACATTCCCCTTCTATTAGGGATTATGAATTTAAGATTTCAGCTACGTCACTTAGGCTGACTGTAAATAAGAAGGACAGGCAACCTAATCCTAAGATTAGTTTGTAAGCTCAAAAAACACAGTGGCTTGAGCTCAGCTTCCATCTTTTGAGAAAAATCTTAAGATAAGAGACCTCATCTTCCTTTTTCCTTAGAATTCCTCTATTGTTATCTGCCTGGGTGCAAAACATCTGTAGATGATGTACAGCTGCTAAGATCATGCATGAATTTTGAATAAACTGAGGGGACGTGTTTCCTGCATCCCCTAAAAATCTACACTTACTTACTTATAGGCTATAAGATACAATAATACACAATAGCCTTTTTGAATACGTGTATATCACTGCAGGACCCACAATCCAAATACTGGTCCTACTTTAAATCCTGAGTGTGGATTTTACATTACACATATGTAAAATCAAGTTTGACATATGTATAATGTTACAGTGCCACAAAGCAAAAAAAATGCACACACTTCCCATACCAGGCTTACTTTCATGAGAACGTACCCAGATTCAGACGGAGTCCTATTGTGTACAGCTTTAATCATTTAAACAGACTAATCACCCTTCACATGCACATCCATGTGGACAGATTGGAGGCAGATGATAGGTCTGTGATCTTAGTGCCAGGCACCACAGATACTGAATCATCTACGAGTTTGTCAGCTCTTCATGCCAACATCTTATCATACTGCAAAACTGCGTCGGAATAAAACATTCATTCATTCATGTTTGATGCACAGACTGAGTTGTTTACATTACAACTCAATTCTGAATTGCTGCTTTCTGATATGCAAACTCTGGGATTTATGTTAAACATCTGTAAGTTGAAGCACACAACCATAATTTTCCTCAATCAGCTTACCCCTGAGGAATATAAGTTCATTTCAGCTCAGTGTTTTAGCATTTCTGGCAGTGCCTCCGTCAAACTGCTGTCGTGTCTCTTCGCTAAATGTCTTTCACTGTTCATCATGGCAGCAGGGGACCCATTAAGTTAACCCAAGTTAATATTTTCTCATGCCAACAGGATTCAGTGTAATGTACAGGAGCTGTAAGATACAACACAAACTTCCTGTTCGGTTTAGGGGACGGCTCCAGCATGTCGGCAGTCTCGATCAGATTCATGTGTCCAATATTACGAGACAGTCTGGCTTGACTCGCCCCCGCTGAGTGGTCTGCTTCTTTACTAAAACACGCCTTAAGCAAGCAAATACCAGACATCTTTGGAGGCACTTATTGTAAATCTGCCTTTAAAAATAGTTTAAAACCTCCTAAAATAAACTAAACAGGAAGAAATGACTGCTCTAACTGTATGCTGAAAAACATTATGCTGTTGTGTTAAAGAGAAATCTACTAAAGTGAAGGTAAGTCATTAAGAAGGCACTCTTTTCCTACTGTTGTCTTTTGACAAAAAACAAAGCCACATTATGTTTGCACCAACAAGTTGATTTCCAAAGAGATATTAACCAAAATCTGTCATATCACAGCATGGTGGAAAAGGTGTTCTGAAAAAATTAAGGAAACATATCAAGAAGAAGACAAAAGGAGACGTGGCAGGCCTACAAAAAAAATGTCTACGGCAGATAAAAACATGGTGCAGGCTCTGTCATGTTTTGGGGCTGCATCTCAGCCAGTGGTGTTGGGGATGTTTCCAAAATTGATTGAATTATGAACACAGAAAAGGGCCATCAGATTTTGATCTACCATGCAATATCATCTGGAAAGAATCTGATTGGCAACTGCTTTGTTTTTCAGCATAACAATGATCCCAAACAAACTGCCAATGCAGTAAAAGTATACCTGAATAGAAAAGCGCACAGTGGAACACACAGTCATGGATTGGCCTCCCCAGAGCCTGGACATTAACATTTGAATGTCCTTCACTAAGCCTGAAGAACCATCCATGTTAACAAACGGCCAAAAGGCAAAGACCTCTCATAGAACGTTCAGGCTGTTTTTAGGAATAAATGTGGTGGTACCAAATATTCACTTTCAAGCTGGATAGATTTGTAAAGAACCCTCCTTAGTATGACATTCTGGCGTGCCAGCTTTAGTGTCTACATATGCATGTTAGAGTAAATGGCATTTTTCATGGTCCAAGCTAAACAAAAATAAATAATGATGACAGATCTTTGGACAGTACAGCAGATAAAGATATTTTATCATTTTTGGATAGTAAATGTGAAGCTACTAGGAGATGGTCTAACTTAGCATGAAGACTAAAGAGAGAGTAAAACCACCTACTTGGTTTTTACTTGTTAATACACAAACTGTTTTACTTAGAACAACTTTAAGTATGCATGCTATGATAACCTAGCTGTACTCATCTGGACCATGGTGCTAATAAGAATTTACTATTCCTTTAGATA